ATGGTTACAGCCCAGGCGTTGCGTGATCTGTTCGCTCGCGCGTGCTAGTGGCGAGACAACATGGCAGAAAATGTTGCTCCTTCCCCGGCAAAGCGCGCTAGAAAACCCAATTTTACACCCGCCGAATGCGCAGTTATTTTGGAAGAGGCGGAAGAAAATATAAACATTATCAAAAGTAAATTTTCCTCCACACTTTGTAATAAAAACAAAACGCGAATATGGGAGGAAATAACCGAGAAAGTCAATGCCCTCGGAGTTTCCAAAAGAACTGTTGTGGAGGTAAAAGAAAAGTGGAGAGGAATGGTGAGTGGAGCAAAAAGAGAGCAAAACAAATGTACCACGGCAGTAAAGAAGACCGGGGGTGGAAAGAAACCGGCTTCTCCAAAGGCTACCACAGCCAAAATTATCGAGCTCTTCGAAACGGATCCGTCTGTCAGTGGCATTTTGGGCGGTGTCGATTCAGGTAAGCCACTAATGTTTACAAGTTGGTTGACTTACGATGATACTTACCACAATGTGCTGATTGTTTCTGCAGTACTTTGTTTAAACATGAAGCAGGGTAGCAGGTGATGTTTCTTCTTTTGGAAAGTTTATTATCCCTGTAATTCGTCGACGTTTCTAAAATTCAGCGGACCCTTGTTAAATTGAATGGGCCATTCCATTTAATATCCGCACTCCTCCTATTGAAGGCCTGGGATTTCTTAGGGGGAGGGGGTCAATGCTATATTTTTTCTTAGGGGGGTTGAAACATATTTCTGAGAGGGGTCGCCATAAAGTACCCTTGACAGAAATTCTCACAAGTAATTTCTGAAGGGGGTTCAGTTGGTTTGCTTGATAGCTACATAAAATTTTGAAGGGGGGTAATTTCAGGAAATTATGAATACTTTTTTAAAACGGTTTCCTTGGCAGTCCGCAATGTATTTAGAGATGACCTACTTGTCTGAAATTCTCCTTTTTAAAAGTTCTTGACAGGTGATAATTGTTGTCATTGAAATTAATTCCTTTTATTATAATGAATATATTGTTTAATTTAATAGGAGTGTTAAATCAAATTTTCTAGAGTAATTTTCAAAGAATGCGTACCAATTTATGGTCAGAACTTACACCATATAGGAATCAAAGGTTTAAGACATTTTGTACAAATTCTACGCTGCACAAGTTTCAGACTTATCAACAGTGGATAAAGGGGTTCTTGGAATAGAAAGTGAACTTCACCCTGTTGCTTCACACTGCGTACTTCCAGACACCTGTGAATCCGCAGACCCCAGTGAACTGTCACGGCTAGATTGCCCTAGTATCTGTTCTGATACAGTTCCATCATTACCGTTGGAGGAGCCAGCAACACTTGCCAAGCCACACTCAAGAAAAAAGGTCACCATTGATGACATCAATGAAATGCACCTTGAAGTCCTTAAAAAGGAAAATGTAAAACTTGACCTAGAAATTGAAAATCTAAAACTAAAGAAGAAAGAAATAATGTTAAGGATTCTAGAGCTTGAGTCTCGAAGTAGGTCCGAAAATAATTTATGAATCAATCTTTATACAATCGAACTGAAATGGCTTTGATTGTGACTCATGTAACTGGTTATTTATGGATTGTTACTGTCAGCTCCCTATATTTTCAATCCACTGATAAACCTAAAGGGGTCTTTACA